TAGTCAATTTTTAGAACCGTAAATTCATGTTTTTTTTTCACATATTTTCCTTAAAATATGTTGCATTTCTATTTTTTTGTGTCAAGCGCAAATTTTAATAAGTAATTAACTTGTAGAAATTAATAAATATAATATTTTTCCTAAGACAGTTACCAATTTAAGTTATGCTTCGAACTTTTGAAGCTATTAATATTAGCTTAAACATTTTAAGATAAATTAAGGATTTGATAGATTATTACTGTATTATATTCCAGATGGGATTCCTCCCATCTGAATAAAAAAATCAGGATCAAAATCTTCAATATACAACAAAATTGAACAGATCGTCCGACAATTTTTCATAAAATCAAAAAAACGTGACGACTTTATAAATTCATAATTGTTGCAGTCAAGAGGCGAGCAGTTAGGCAGAAAGTGCATTGCATTATTCTATAATGAGAGAAAAGGAAAAAAACTTATCCCATGTGTGTAACTTGAATAAATTTAAACAGTGGCTTGGATGCGGCGAGTGAAAGTTGCGAGTTTTAAGATTATTAAACTGGCCTTACGCCTTACATCCCCACACTTCAATTCTAAATCGTTAACAGATTATCAACGAACTTGAACCGAGTTAAAATCACGTGCGAGTGGTAATAGCATCCAATAAAAGTAAAGAAGACAAGACGTTATTTTTAGAAGATCTCATAATAACACTCTCATACGCAGATTAGAGAAACCCCTGCAGGGAAGTCTTTTAGGGTGATCACACGCATGGATAAAGCGTTATTTTAATTACTGTGACAAGCTGACACTTTACATGTACCCGATTTCTCTACTCCTTTCGTACATTTCACAGTACTACACTGAATAATTAGGTTTTATATGTTATGGGCGTAGTAAATCAAATTCAATGAATTTTTATCGATTTGTTTTCGTTTTTAATTAATACCAAAACTTTGAATATTTAACATAGGTTCTTATGAGAAATTCTATGATGCATACCCTTACAATCGAATTGTGTGAAAAAATGTAAATGGTAAGACGAAAAAAATATAGACATTTACCTAAATAGTTAATTAAAAGATGAGACAAAGAAAAAAGTAGGTTACTACTTTCACAGAGAAATAAATTATCAAACATAAAAATGTTATGACTTGTCCGTCAAGTAATACGCGAAGGAGTAACGGCAACAGAACAATAGAAAATGAATGAGGATAGGTGGCGGGAAATTTACATAAACGTTTCGATACACAAATTAGTCATTAAAAATGAATTACATTCGACTTGTTATTTGTGTAATTCAATTTGGAATAATGAAATGAAATGGGAAAGTTTCAAATGAAGTTTGTTTTTATTTATAATGTACGATAAACTTTCAATACAAGAAATAAACAATACAGCAGCATATAAACAATGAAATATTTATCATCACAGCGCGCATAACAATCTTATGTATTTTGATAAATTATGACATTTTTAATATCATTATCATTTTAAAATTAACATTTAAATAATTTCAGCATATTTTTTAAAACATTTTTGGCTGCAATAACATCGTATCACAGTATAATAAATATGTATATCAAAAATTGTATTATACTTTCATAAATGCAATCGCGCTTTGATTTCATTCTAAAAAAAAGGTCACGCAGTCAGCGACTTACCGATATGCCGATAAGGTAGATGATAATATTAGTTCTCTATTCTGAGGTGGGCCATACACACCCCTGCTCCCCATTAGCTACGGCCATGATTATAATCAATATAGGGTCAAATGTAAAAAGTATTAATTCCATAAAATTTAATTCATATGAATTTAAATATTTTAAAGCCATTATACTCTCTTTATACAGGAGGATGCCTCGGTTTATGTTTCGATTACTCCTTTATAGGATTAATTACTCGTGAGCTGTTGCAACTTTTGGCAGTTATTTAAACATATTGGGTAAAAAATAATAATTGAGGAGTAGAAATATATCATTTTTAAACTCGATTTTATTCAATTTCTACCAGAAATCTACTTACTTTCTATACATAACGAATATGTTTCTTTGCATCGACAGCAATTATTTTATAATACGGTAAGTATGTGCCCCCCCGCATCCCGCTTCACACCCCCGATGAGGCACCCGATCCTCATTAATAGCTGTTTTACATTGACAATTTATTGATCAATTAATTCATGAAGTCGCTNTGGAGGTTGTTTTTTTTTCAGAATATGATAAAACTAGATAATAATGTTTTCAAGAAACAACAAAAAAAAACGGTAACACGCTACTGTAAAATTTACATTTATTTATTTATTTATTTTATTTTTGCTGTATTTCTTGATTAATAAAGGTAATAATTTTTTATGTATTTGTTATAAAAATGTTTTTTTAAATGTCGGCTGATTGGAGTTCAAGCCAAGTCAACTGCGATATAAAAAGTTATATTGTTTAAACTAATACTGGGCACTAAAATTTTCTCGCGGAATATTAACTTAATTGCATGACGGATGACGGAACTAAAAAAGACCTTATTATCTGACTGAGAAGTCACTAAAATTTTCATTAGTTTATTTAAAAGATAATTAAAAATATAAGTTTTTTTTTTTTATTAAAATATAAATTAATTAAATTATAAAGTCCTGAAATTTTCATTAAAATATCTCTAACGGTTTTTACACAATTAATTTTTTAATTTAAAGTCCCGAAAATATTTATTGCAAAAAAAAATTGTTAAAATGGAAATTTTGAAAAAACGGTTTTAGAGTATGATTGTTGGTAATGACTACATTTGATTAAAATATATGAACTCAAATTCCATGATCAAGTGGACTTGACGTAATTTGACTATTTTATTATCTAAGCATTACTTTTATGGCATGTACAGGGTGGGCAAATAAGCGAGGTAAGCGGCTGTATCTCAGAAACTAGTGATCGTAGAGAGCTACGGTAAAAAATTTTATAGGTAAAGTGGGCAAGGGAAAATGCTGGAAATTATTTTCAAGTTTCCAAGATGGCCGCCAGTGGGCGTTTCCACCATATTGAATTACATAAAGTTACGTTTCTCACGATTTTCCCCAATGAATGTAACAAAAAAGTATTTGCGTTTTAATGTTAACTTAAAGTCGAACATTTTTTGTAGAAACAATTTTTCTCTATCTTTCGAAATAAAGTGGTGGGGGGTATTTGAATGTTGTTTGAAATAAATGCCTGTAACTTCGAAACGGCTTAATGGATTTGGATAAATTTGGTANCTAATAGCTGTTTTACATTGACAATTTATTGATCAATTAATTCATGAAGTCGCTTCATCAAGAAATTGGACAATTGTAATGCACCAAATCTGCTGTCAAATAACTTCATGAATTCATCAAGTTCTTGACGAATTAAAAGCATGTTCTAATTTTCGTCAATTTCTTCGTGAAATTCGGAAGTACCAACCCAACAGATTTCCAGCCTCAGGTCAGTAATGAGGTTATGTTATTGGAATATGTAAATAATTGTGTGGCGTCGTGCTAGTTTTGCATTGTTTTTACCGATTTGTTATTTACAAAAACTAATATTCATATAATATGTCAGAACGGTACCGCTGTTGTATCACTACAATTATGAGTGGAAAGGTGACATTTTTGAAATTTATTTGATAACGTCTGTAGCAATGTAAAACCACACTGTTTACCAATAAATTCGTGAATTAATTCATGAAGAACTTCGTCAATTTATTCACCAATAAATTGTCAATGTAAAACAGCTATAACTAGTTCAGCTAGTGGCAAGCAGCTTGTCACAAGCAGTAGGTAAGCGATAACAGCTGTAATTTCTCTCTACATAGATATATATTTACAAAAATATCGAAGATAACGTTTATGAATTGCAGTTCAGTTTTGAGATAGAACCCCGAACTTTGAAATTACAGCAGTTTACGCTTAATCTAACTTTCTGTTCGGCACGAAAGGCATAAATACTAAGAAAGTCAGGGACAAATCAATAAATGTTTTATGTCTATGGACTGTAAAAACTTTCTACACTCCTCCGCTCTGTCGTAACTCATTCCCGATAGTTTACCTTTTATGATTAGTGTCTCGGCGAGAGAACGTTAAAATTTAATTCAAAACACTATTTAGCCTCCTTACGAATGAGAATTAAAACAAAAATAATTATACAAATTGCCTTTCAGAAAAAAATTGTCTCACTGTTACTCCAAAGCTCTACAGAATGAATTAAATAGGCATTACGATTTTTTGCAAAATGTACGCATCTAAAATTGCCATAGGTGCGGCAAATATTTTATGAATCTAATTAGGCCGAATCCTGACGACAAAGGGAAACTAATTTCAATACAGGCAATTAATGGCACAATATGCTTTGCCGAATTTTGGCGTGTATCGTTAAAGGCAATTAAAATTAAATCCATACAGGTTCACGTTTTAACGGCGGGGTCAACAATCTACCTTCTTGACAAAACCCCATCCGCATCTAGCCATCGCGGATTTGGCCATGGAAATGCGCATTTACTTCTGTCTGAAGAAGAACGCGTCTATTCTGTTCAACACATTGGATTTACGCAGTAGAACGGCAAATCGCGACGGACGTAGGGAGGGATAACTGCGAAAACGAAACAGCTGACTCCAATAACAAAGACCCGAAAACACAGCTTGCCATATTTTTTACCAATTAACAGCACAGATAAACGTTGTTAGGGTGTACGCACCGCCCTTACTTCCGGTCTATTTGAAAGTAAGTTTTTAAACGGCGAACAACAGTAAGTATATTTACGCTCCGTGAGAATAAAATAATAAACAATAACGTCACATTGGCAGTAGCTCATTCCAAATATTGGTTAAATCGTGTTATCCTGTCGTATTGCCGATAAGATTCATTCATAAAACTACGTTTGAAGTGATGTTAACCTATGGGGGTTGTGAATGTTGGGAAAACAAAATATTCAACTACGGGGATAAAATGGCAGCCCAGATATTGCGGTGTAACAAAGAAACGAAGCGAAAGTAACATTAAAATTTAACTAGAACTTACTTTTGAAATCATGCGTGTATGGGGAGATATCTAGAAGAAATGGACAGCTAAATCTTCGCAAATCAATGTTGAATTTAAGTTATAAACCACCAAAATACAACCCGATTTTTCAAACTTAATCTGACCGTCCGCGATATCTCACCTCAGAACGCATACGGCATATAGTATACTGAAAGGGGAGTTTCGATTGTCGCCGTTAATAACACTGGTGGCAGCACCGTAGCTAGTGCGCATAGGTATAATAAACAAAACAAACCGACACGGGATCGGTGAATGTGCCTTTCCATTTCTAACAATTTTAAATGTAAATGTATTAATTAGCTTCTCAAAAACGCACGTGTTCAATGCGAGTTATTTTAGAAATTCTGAAAATTGTTATTACCTACCATTAGTATATGGTGGAAAAATAAGACTGCTACTACCACGTTATTGTTTGTAGTCAGGTTTCTAACTAGATATTAAAGATTTAATTTAAATATAATTTATTAATAAAATTAGATTCAATTTCCGATACATTTTTAAGGGTAAAAATATCAATTGGATTTTAATTATGTTAGGGAGCTCAAATTAATAATTTAAAAATTAAAACTTTGGAAGTGCTGCCATCGTGCGCATAATAGTTAAAACTGTACTATATAGTCAAGATTTCTCTTCAAGTATTTTAAAATTTGCCTTCTTACGTTATGCAACAGCATATACAGCGAAGTTTTACGTGATGGGTCATACTAGGTGCACTTAATTTAATAAAAGCTTTCGTTAAAAAATTACGGGATCTTATCTCACACTTTGAGACATTTTAATGAAACATGAATAAAAGCCTATTTTCTAGCTAAAATCGACAGCTTGCTAAGAATATCTCAGTTTTTAAGAAAACGCAGGCGTTTTTTAAACGTCATTTTACTTATTGTAGACAACTACACGTGTATATCGTTAAAATAGGAATAAATTTTGAGAACACTTTTTTTTTACTAACTTGCTTTGCTAACTTAAATTATAGGTATTTCTGACAGTCTACATTTCTTAGTTTTTGTCTGTTTCCATAGTTACTAGTTTCGCCAATACATGTTCATTATTTTTTATGTATGAATCAGAATGTCCAAATAAAGATTTGATAACTTCCAATTTATTACAAAGGAGAATTAATGAAATTAACAAATGATCTCAAAGGAATATCGAATTTGTTAGATATATCGAAAAATATCGCTAGTAACAACTTATCAGTATCTATTAATTTAAAGAAGAAAATATTGATCCACCGCTGATGTTTTGTTTTTTCGTTTTGGTACGGCCTTTAGCAACAATTAAAGAACATTTTTTTCAATCCTTTTTGAAGTGAAACACAGTATAGATATTACAAAAAACGATTAATTTTTATTAACACTACGTGGTGCTATATATAGCCTTATTTTAATATAATAGATGTTTAATTCTCAGCAATGTAGATATACCAATTATGTAGCTTATTTAGTCATCGATGTATAATAATAATAATAATTATAGAATGATTAGTAAATTATATCATTATGAACGCCGTCGTTTGATCAGATGCTATTATTTATAAGCCGATACAGATATTATCTAATATTACTTGTCAGGATGAATTTACAGTCAAAATTTCACACTACAGTTACTTTCCTAAGAACAGATTAAGACCTATTTAATTCCGTGACAGATACAAACTTAATCTAATCTTGATTGGGGTGTTCGGTTTTTATTATTCTGACAGTACCGGATTAGGTCCCCTTGGGCCTTTGAACTTGCTTAATATCTATCTTTGGCGAACAATATACATATAGACGTAATAATGGGTATACGAGAATGAAATACAGGGTGATCCAATTAAAACTTTCCATCTGGAAAATATCGGAATTAAAAAAAAACGGAAAAAACCTGAGACACGTCGATTTTCTTTTCATAGGGGACACGTGATGGCGTAAGTTTTGGTGTCGTGGAAGCTACCCCATAGGCAGGGGCGTAAAATACCCTTAAATTTTAAATGGCACCCTATGTCGAATGACACCTCATTTTAAAGCTTTTTCAATTCCGCTCACGATTTTTTAAATTTTTGTTTGAATATGACAATAAAATTATCACTTAAAGAAAAAGACAAAATATCAATGAATGAATGAAAGAATGTTATTTTATTAAGTGTTCAAATTGGTTTCCCTCCGCTTACATACAATAATAAAATCTTTATTCCACATCCGAACGAACATTTCGAAGCATTTCGGGCGTTATCTGATGACATTCTTCAGCAATTCGACTTTAAGTGTCGCCATAGAATTTTTTCTAAGGGGGTTAGATCTGGTGATCTGGGAGGCCACTCAATTGAACCTCTGCGTCCTATCCAATGTTTTCGGAAGTTATAATTAAAAATCGAAAATTAAATCGACGCCTCAGGTTTTTTTGTTTTTTTTTTAATTCCGATATTTTCCAGGTGAGAAGTTTTAATTGGAACACCCTGCATAAGTAGTAAAGAAGTTAAGTTTATGTGTTTTATGAAAAATTATAAAATGTAATCTTGATATAAAGAAAAAGATTTTGATTTATATCAAGACAATCTTATGGGTACAGTAATCAAGAAAATCTAGTTCATGATTCGAAAAAATATAAAGTGAAATGTTAGCATATGATTTGCTATTTTTATTTTTCTTATTTTCACAAAATTCCAAACAATTTCCATAAAAAATTTGATTTGAGAATAAAATTTTAGGCAATTTTTTTATTCACTCACTGTTTTTTAGTCCAAACCTGCATTAAAAATTAGCGTAGATAATAAAAGTATGTATAATTGGTGTGCTGGGTTATATTCGATATATTGTTAACTAATTAGTTTAAATGTTATTAAGTGAATATTGTGAGTTCATGGTTTTTTTTACAAAAATTTATTTATATGGTAAGTGCCTAATCTTAAATATTAAATCATTTTTTAAATGTCACTCTTATTGATTTTGTTATTTGGATTTGGAAATATTAGGTATAAATAATAAAAATAACAAAATTTATTGAACTGAAATTGACAAGAATTTTTCATGAACTTCACTGCATCATATTAAAAATTCTGAATAATTAACTAACTATCGTTATAATTTTGCCAATAAGAACTGAATATAAAACAGTCCGTTCCTTATTCACGTATTCATGTAATTAGACAATTTCGTCGACGTATTTCAGTTTTAAACATGTCATCGTGTTAATTAATATCAGCATCTTTTACAGCAGACGCATTTGGAGATTTATTTATTACGTCTTGTTAAGGCGGATGTTTGAAACAATTCGGATTTTTTCCAAGTTTGACCTTTGCAATAGTTTGCGCATTCGCGCGTATAAATAAATTAGGTTAAAAAAATAGACTCTAGTTAAATAATCTAAACTACGATTTCCTCGAAATTGGAAACTAACATAAATTTTCCCAAAACTACAAAAATAGATTAGGATAGATTTTAAGTGGAATATAAGAGAATGTCCTATATATTTTTTCTGACTATTCCGGAGTTTCCACGTCTACCAAATTCCCGGGTAACGCAAATTAGGAGAAATATATTATAAATGGATTTTAATATACTTAATATTTTATATTTGAAGGACCGGCAAATTTTTATTGTTAATATGTAATAAGTACTGATGACATCAACTAGAAAGAGTAGAATTTTTACGTGTTTGACTTCGTTTTCGAAGACTGAAGACTGGACTGCGTTTCAGAGGGAAAGTTACTTAAAAATAAGCCATGCAAATTGCCACATTGTTGCACGTATGGCACTTCTTTCCTGTAACCAGACGTGACTGATGTTTCAGTAACCGTTCAAAATATATTTCTATTGCTGCATTCTCCTTTACACTACACTATACAGGGTGTAGGGTTTGAATGGGGCTACATTTATACGGAGGCTACCTTTGACCTTTAGAAAGACGTGTCATAAGTTTCAGTGCCTGATTTACAGTGGTGGGGGCCTGTAGGCTGAAAATTGGTGGGGGCCTATTTTAGAAAAAAAATATCCTTTTTGGTAGGCCCCCCCAAAAAAAAAATTGAATTAAATAAAAGTAAATTTTAACCCACTTTCCCTAGGGACACAAAATGTATAACTATCAGTGAAGAATTAAAAGCCACTTACCCTTGGGGTAAATAAAAAAAAAAATTGTGAACATGGTGGGGGCCTGTAGGCTGCAGTCTATACCAGCCTATAGGTAAATCAGGCACTGATAAGTTTGTTTCCCCAAATTCCGTGTAAACTAATTTTATTCTACATTCTTTCTAAAACGAAGATTATCTTGACATAGCTGGAGATCATTATTTATACAGTCTGTTTGTCTGTTGTCTCATTTCTGTGGTGTGTTTTATGTTTTGGTGTGTGTTTGATTATAAAGGTCCCGAGATATAACACTCGGTTACCCATTTTTGGACACCGAGTAAAGTATATATTAAATGGGATATTATTTTCTTTATACTGACGAACAAGTTTTTTTTCCTCATACTGTAGGTGAGTGGTGACGTCATTGATATTTTTTTAAATGGGATTATATATCTTTTTGCATGTTTTGATGATTTTTTTTATTCTCTTTCAAACCATATGAAATTTGTATGGTTTTGCATAACGAAATTTGTGAAGAAAAATGACTTTCAGCCTTTGACTTCAGTTTATGGTGCTCGCTTTCTAAATCATATCAAAAAGAAGGCGCTGGAAAAACAATTTTGCACACCGCTATCTGTCATATCGGTTTGTTTGTAATTGTCGTCACCTTTCAAGTTTAACAGAATGTATGATTTTAATGAAGAAATTGCAGGTTTATTATGAATCTAGAAAAAATGTTCTATTTGATGTGATTCAGAAAGCGAGCACCGTAAACTAAAGTCAAAGGCTGAAAGTTTTCTCATTTGTTTCTCAAAAATTTTGTTATGCAAAGACATACAGATTTACATATGGTTGGAAAGAGAATAAAAAAAATCATCAAAATGTGCAAAATAACGAGCGTTCAAATAAAAACGTGGTCAAGTTGGTTCTGAAAATTCGGACGTAGGGCGTAGCGTATAGCAAATGAACTTAAACGTCATCTGTGAAAGCGCTATATCGCCGCTATCAATTTGAATATTTTCGTTTTAAAAAGCGTTTAAAATGGTGTTTTCTCTAGAACAAAAAGTGTTTAGCAT